GCCTCTCCATATATGATTTAGCAGCTAATCCCCGTCGAGTCAACTTATCGAGTGATAAAAAGGGGGGCCTGGGGGGCCTGTTTTTTGGACATTTGGGGTCTACAGAGATGTTCTACTAAAGTAAAAATAGGAATAATGTGTTTGTTGTTTTTTACTCTGCTTTTTTCATTCCAAACAATCTACTTTCGAAAAAACAGGCCCCCCAAGCCCCCCCTAAAAAACAATGAATTATACTACATATATCTACTCCATATATTCTCTCTTTTTTCATAGCTCTCTTCATACATCGAGTAAAAAAAAACAGGCCCCCCACATGCCCCCCACATGCCCCCCACGCCCCCCTAAAAACAATCAATTATATAGTCCCTCTCTTTTCACTCACGCAATCGGATTCCTATGTAAAAGCGAGTTCCCTTGATTTTCTTTTCCTTCAGAACTGAACTAAGTTCCTTGTGAAATTGATTTGCACTAAGTGGTTCTTTGGTGCTCCCGAAGAATTGTATGTAGTAATGTTTGTACAATTCCTTTTTTTCAACTCGATTGTTCTTCATATCCGTTTGGTAATCTACCAGCATGTACGTCTTCTCCAGCCATTTTGCGGCGCTTAGACTGTTCATCAGGTTCCTCTGTGTAAATTCCATCACAGCAGGAGGGGTTTCTATTTCGAACGCCGATGGTATCCCAAAGAAAGTGGTATAATATTCGAAAAGCATTAAGATGAATTCGTCCCTGTAGGCGGGTGAGGAGAACAACCGCTTAAGTGACCTATCTATGATTTTTCTCGAAGTTGGGCTGTCCTCCGTTTCGTCATCCGCGACTTCATCTCCTTCATCTTCATCTCCTTCCTCCTTATTATCTTCATCAGCATCATCGAAGCAGAATGGATATTCCTGCACCCGAGCGTGCATTGCAAGGGCACGCTCCACTTTGTCAAACTTGATGTCCTCGTTCGTTTGAACATTAAGGAGACCAGTGATGGGAAATGATATGGGTTTTCCATGCAATGACCGGACCGTTTGTCGGTCATCACCGGACGACCAGCGTTTAATGATTTCTGCTATAAAATAGTCACCAGGACTAGTCTCGGAAGTGGATAAGTACCTCTTGCCAAAACAGTTGTACAACTGAGCGTTGGGAGCATCAACGGTTGCACTTTCCATCGTTAAATTCTTCTTGTCAACCGCATAATAGTATCCCCCAAATGCCTGGTCAATCAAAGTATTTTCTGTACCTTTTCCATTGCGACCTCCCCCCTTCAACACCATGAAGATTTCGTCCACAATTTTACCATAGAGGCAGCGACACACTATGTGGAAGCGATAGTTTACCAGGTCACGAGAGGGAAAGATGCTTTCATAGAAAGAGAGAATATGTTCGCGTATCTCTGGGTTGGTTTTTCTCGGATATGGATAACCACAGGTGAAAAGGATGTAATCATCGGGTCGAATATCTCGAAACGTACCTGTGTTCAGTTCATATACGCCATCTGTGAAGGCAAATAGTTCTGGTTTGGAAAGGAAGAGGTCGATGCATTTATCGTTTCTCGGTTGCAAACGGTCAACATTTTTGGCCACTTGCACTGAAAAGTTGTTCATTTCAATATCGCGACGGAATGATGCCAAGAGGTCTTGGAGCAATGAAACATTGGTCTCTTGACCATCATCATCGGCATCCTGGATGAGTCTCTGAAAGTCGGCAATAAGGGTATCGGCGACTTGAAGATTAACATCGCTATCTGCAATGTTTTCTTGCTTATACCAGATATTGTCTTTTCCAAGGATAAAGCAGATTCCGCTGGAATGCTTGAAGATAGTGTCTTTCTTGATCTCCACAAACCATTCAGCGGTGTTCTTGTGGGTGGGAACCAACACTCGCCGAAAATCAAACCTTTTCCATTGCGGAAGGCGACGCAACTCATCAATATCCAATTCTTCCCTGGCGTCTCTCTTTCTCTTCTTCGGCTGTTCGGCAATAGGTTCTTCATTCACTTCAGGCGGAACAGTTAGATGGAATTGGTCGAGGAAACTCTGAGAAAATTCCATGGGCTTCTCGGACAATCGGATGGAGTAACCGGTTTCTGCCAAGATATATTGTTCGCATTCATGCAAGAGGTTGACGTCAAACAATCTATCAGTTCCAGGCTTGCGTCTGACCTGAATTCCATCATAAATCAACACATCCACAGAATATTGGATATCGGTGAAAAACTCGTGCATCGACCACATGATACAATTTTCGACGGTGTGGTAAACGAGGCTAAGGAACGACCCAGCACGATTCTGCTTCTTACGTGAAGTCCTCAGCCAAATATCAGGAAACTGTTTTTGGAGAAGCGGCACCAGTTTTTGGTATACGAAGGAGTGAATGGCAGCGACTTGCTTGTTGAAATTGGTGGCCTTTTTTTCACAGTTAACAATTGCTATCATGTCTTGTTTGTTCATCTTCCATTCACTCAATAATGTGTCACGATTTTCAACGTAATCATCCAAGTGGGGGCAGAATAGGTTATTTGATTTGCTTAGTTCCCTTAATACAGTGAATTGAGCATTAACCATATCAAGATCATGGTACTCGTGTCCGCAAAGGTAAGCACGGAAAGGGAAGGTACGAGCAGGGGTCCCTTGAAGTGAACTAGGGTTTACCTTTTCACCGTCGTCATTGTTCAAATGGAAGCAACGACATTGTGCATATAAACGTCCGATGCGTAAATCACGGTTATTCTCTGAAAAGTTATACTCCACATGGTAGTCGTTGGGGCCAACCCGTCGTTTTTTGAATGAGCGGAAAAATCTTTTGTATTCTTCAGATACGTAGGGAGAGTTCAAGATTTCCCTCAATCTAGCATCCGACACGAATTCAAACTTTTCGATGGGCAGTTGCATTTGTGCAGATTGAGTGACCGTGGGTATATCACTGTTATCAACAGGAAAGAGCAGAGGGTCGTGACCAACTTCGTTATTATCCTCGATGTTCTCGTTCGTTTGCTTTTCGGTTTTAATTTTCTTTTTATCAGGTAAGGATGGTGGCGCCTTGGTTTCAACTCCCTTCTTGTGCTTCTGGGGAGTGAATGTACCATCGGCGTCAACAACAAAAATTTCTTCTTTCGCATCTTCAACAATTAACAAAGGTATATTTTTGCGAATCGCAATGACTTTAGGCGCTTTCTTGCTGGATTGAGTTTGCATATTGGTTATTTTACTTCCGGGTTTTTTTGTGAACTAACCATTTCGTACCAATCTTTATATAAGCATTTGAATGCACATCGGAGCTATTTAGGCAACATCGGTCGCCGATGTAAAATGCGTTTATTTAAACAAGCACGATTTTGGTACATCAATAATATACAACGAAAATGCCACACTCAAAATTTGATTACACTGGGATATTCGAAAAGTACGGGATTACCCAGACATTCCACGCTCCATCATTGCGGCAGTTGTCAAAGATGATGGATATCTCAGAGATGACTATGAGAAAGGCCGCAAAAATGAATGGAGAACTGTATCCCCGTGCAATCATACCTTTGAGAGTCTCGAAGGTTCCAAAGCAGAACTAAGTTCGATCATCCTTATAATCCTCAATCAAACTCTCCCTCATCCGCTTACTCCGCTCTTCAAGGTAGCATTGGAGACAAAGAGGTCTCCGTTGACAAGGAACCTTATCATACTCTCTGCCACATTTTTTACATTGACGTTTTGCTATGCTAGTTTCCATTTTTTAGACTTGATCTGAAAGTGTTTAAGTATGAACGAACTCACTCTAAATTTTTTTGAACCACTGTGTTAACATATCAATGGATTTAACAACTCCCGAAACGAAAGTCGAAACACTGAAAAAAAGGCTACGTTGGCTGAATGATTTATGGAAGGAGGCAAGGACAACTGAGAAACGCCTCGCCATTCACCAAGAAATCGAGCGAGTTAAGTTCGAATTAAAGGAACTTGGGTATATGAGATACTTTTAAATGGCTCAACGCAATATATGCCGCATTTTTTTTTTATTTTTATAAGGAATAGCCATGTTCTGTAGTACATCCGGATTGACCAATGTTCTTGTGACACTTTTTGTTGTAGTCGCCATAACTTGTTATGGCTTGACAGAATTGATTAATTGGACAGATGGTTATAAACAACGCCTGGTCTATCAGGAAAGATACCAACAGAAAGAAAACCTGCGCGATGCATTGGAAATCTTGGAAGACGAATTTGAATGTTATTGCAAGAACAGAAATCCCACATCAGATGACGCGCTAGCCGTGTGAGCCGCCGCAAGGCGGCGACTCAGCGCGCTCGAAGGAGCGCTGTGAGCGCTGTAAACGAGATTATGATCAGTAAACATGTCCGGAACATGATAAATCACGTGCATTCTCCTCGGCACGAGACTAAACTGCCTGGCGAGTAACAAGACCGACCGACGAATATCATAGTTATTGTTTTTAAATCTGGTTGATTCAGACTGTTCTTTAGGCTTTCTCAGACAGCGCTGAGCCGCCGCAAAGGCGGCGACTCACCCAAAAGAAAGCACAGGTCATGGTACTGACCGAACAATAAGAAAGTACCACCACAGCTCCTTCGAGCACATCGAGCTGCGCCGCAAGGCTTCACAGCTTTTAAAATTGATATAAATCACAGATACATCAAAGTAAAGTTTGTCAAAGGATGTCTACACATAGGACATCTACGACTATTTTCTTGGTTTGAGTTGTAGTAATCGACGAAACAACGTGCACACATATGATGTCCACACTCAAAGATGATGGGAATGTTATTCGCATCATTGTAGCTTTCGTAGCATATCAAACATTTCAACTCTGCCCCTGCAAATGTCCTGTTTTCTTCCCGAAGCCTTTGAGCAAGTTCTTCAACCCGTACTCTCAGATCCGGTTCATGCAAATGCAGCTCTTCCATAGGAGGTCTGTTTTCATCTAGAGCCCAGCGCATAGCACTATATAGTCCCCTGATGGTCATTCCACGAGTTCGTGCGATCAGGCGACAGGAAGTGAGATAGTTCCACTTCTCATCGTCATTCAGTCTGTTGAAGTGGGCTCTGCCCATGTGATATATCTGCTGAGCAGTAGGCATCGAGATTTTAGAAAAAGAGAGATTTTATTAGACATTTACTTCTGTCAATCTTTATATAAACCTGAGTAAGTGCGAATCTATCTATAGCTTCGCCTTTGAGCTACGCATACAACATGAAACTACGGATACAACATGAAACTACGGATACAACATGAAGCTACGCATACAACATGAAACTACAGATACAACAGACAGACTATCAATAAAGATGAAATAAATTTCTTATATTAAGTGATAAACCGGCTTATATCCTTTAGAATACAAATCAGCCCTGAAAATGGAACAACACAATACCGAATCTGCTCTCTATGATACTCTATGTAACATCCTTAACAGGATCAACCAGTCTGCAAAAACCACGAAAAATGACAAGTCGCGCCTAAACCAACTCAAAAGCCATAATCTTCTTTCATTATTCGAAACGCCTCAGATACTTATTTCGACGATTAAGGAAAAATGGCCGAATGACAATACGAAGAGCAACTATATCAAACTCGTATCGAAACTATGTCGTAATGCTAAAAAGGGGGAAAAGGCAATGATCCTTCATCTAGCAGAGGATGCAATGGACGACCTTGATGGTCATTTTACGGACACATTCCACTCTCACTTCAAGAATGTGACATATGAAAAAGTCAAACAATTCAAAACTCAGGCTGCATCCCAAGAGATGACCCAGGAAGATTTCGCAAATTATGTCCCTTACAGCGAACTCTTAGCAGGATTGAAAGTGGCTCTCACATTCATTAATGAACAAAATATAGTGGAGCATCAATTTCTAATCGCGCTTGGGATGAACCTGGACGCTGATAAGATTCGTTGTAATGATATTTTCAAAGCGATGATCAGCGAAGACGCTAATGTTACGGTGAACAATGAAGGGAAAACTGTCTTCATCCGAAAATGCAATAAGACTGGTGAAAAGAATGTCCTTATTCAGATGGGAGACACCATTCAACCATACGTTAACATGTTAGCAAATGTTAGAAAGGCCAATGAGCAAACGCGTCTGTTCCTGAAACCTGATGGAAGTATCCCCACCGATGCCTGGTGTAGTGACGAATTTGCTAACGCTATGGAACGAATCTTTAAAAAGCGTGTAACTCAGAGACGAGTTCGAATTTCAATGGGCATTTATCTTTCTGAAAAAGACAATGGAGACCATGCGTACCAAAAATCAATCGAGCACAGAATGGGTCACACATACGAAGTCCATCAACGCTATTACAATTTGTTCAAATCATTTAATGCAAATTAATGACTGTTCTCAAAATCATTCACACTGTCCCTCGCCCCACGCATAAGTTCACTTCTTGGCTCCCATGTAGCCTGGTCACGGTCATATCCTCTCCATAAGACGAGGTATTCAACTACTTGTCTTGAACCGACTCGACGTGTCCGCTTATCAAGCAATGCTTCCACTTCATACTCACCTTCTGGTACTTCCTCTTCATCCCCTTCAATTTCAGGCTCAACTTGTGGAGTTTGTCCATCATCCTCTTTTGGAACCAAACGCAATTGCCAAGCGGGATACACTCCTGGCAGCGGATGATCAGAATTGACAGCACTCCTTCGAGCGTGCTGAGTCGCCGCAAGGCGGCTCACAGGCTTAATTTTATAACTGCCCATGTAATTGGGGTGGGGATTTGGAACAACGGCTGTTATTTCATACTTCTCTTCTGAAAAGTAACCGAGCTTGGCCCGGCGTTTTATATCTGTCCCCTGTCCTGATATATACTTTCTTACAACATCGCCCACACTGAATGGAGGTAATACTTTCACCCCTCTTCCTTTCGTGCGCAGCGCACGTTGGGCTTGAGCCGCTCCTTGGATGTCTGCCTCCATCTGTTGCACAGTACGGAGTTTCTTCCCAGAACCGAAACTTACGGTAGAATTTATGTTCTCCACAATCTGCGGTAACATGGTCACCCAATCTCTGTTTCCCAAGCGCATCCCCATGAACAACGCTCGCTTTATGGTGCCATTCATCCTTTCGACCTGTCCATTTGTTTGAGGTGAGCCGGCCTTCGAATACCTCCATTCTATGCCATGTGTTTCTGCATACTGTGAAGTGATACCTTGAAACTCGTTTCCATTGTCGCTTTGAATACCATGGATTTCGACACCATCCTCAATGAGGTTTTGTAAAAAGTTAACGACACTTTGTTGCCGTGTATCTTTCAAGGCTTTAGCGTAAACGCGTTTAGTTAAAATATCAACCGCAACTGCTACATATTTATAGCCATTGTATGGGACGCTAATCATTGAAAAAAGATCGAGTTGAAGTTGTCCTGGGCTACTTGATAATATAGGACGGATGCCACCCTTGTTTGTCAATGGTCGAGACCAGCGTTGCCAGATCGGTTGCTCTTTCAACCATGCTAATAGTGTCCGTTGGGAGATATTGCTCTCAGGATACTTTGCTTTGTAGAGTGCCCAGAGCCTGTCTCGGCCCATGTACGCATGCTCTCTATAGTAGAGCTGCCTTAAACGCCGCTCATCCTCTGGTGTGATCTCTTTCCAGTAGTTCTTCCTTTGATCCATCTTATCAATAAGAATCAGCTTTAAAAACATGTATCACCGGGGCAAAACCCATTAACATGTCTCGGACATGTTAACGTCGAAATCGGTGCGCGGGCCGATCAAGCGGTTTCTTTCCGCATCTCCAAAATGAACAGTTTTTCATTATGTTCATGCCCTAGTAATATGCAATCATTCAAAATTGCCAGATAACCGGTACGGTTGAAGCATAAATGATCCAATTTGCTCAGGTGGACAATTGACATGATTTTATCAAAAATCGGTTGGTTCTCTTGATTTTTTTTAAGATACAGTATGATTTTTGCCTTATCACTACCGGTCAACATGCTCTCGCAATATCTCCAAAACTTATCCATGTCGCCTTTGACGGCATCCCTGATATTGAATACCGAATGATAATCTATATCAACACGTTGCATTGTAAATTTACATAGCTTTACTTTTTTTAATAACAGCGCACTGTTGAACTCCGTTCCAGTGCTAAAGGTTTTTAAGGGCCGAGTTCAGTGATTTTGATGAGGGTAACGTCTGTGGTATTATCGGGAGCAGCCTGATTGATACTAAAATTTGTGAAGTAAGCAACGTTATCGGCCATCCCTGTAACAATGAATGCGGCAGTGATTGTACGATTGACCCCCGAATTAAAGTTAAAGTCGCTCGAGTACACGAGAGGCATCGACCCAGCGCTTTGGCCGAGAAATATTGACAAAGTACCATTTGAATTTGCTGTGCCATGGAGGTTGAGCGTCCACTCCATAAGTACCTTGCCAGGTGTTGAAACATAGAAGACCTTTGAGGCATTGTTGGATTGCCACATGTCTTTAGTCAAAAGTTTGATAACTTGAACATTTCTTAGAAATGTTTGACTGGCAACCCATGGTTGAGTAGCACAAACCTGACCATTGCTATAGACAGCACCGTTCGAATACAGATTCCCTCCTGCAACAACATGTGCATTAACCGCAACTCCTCCATTGACAACCAGAGCACCAGTTGTACTCGATAAAGCTGGAGTGGTGCTTTCAACGACAACATTTCCTGTCGACAATGTGATAGTAATACCCTTTGCTCCCTGTGCTTGCAGTCGCACTGAACCTGCATCATTCCTCACCATAAACATCGAGGCGCCTCCGTCCACACTCCTATTGTTTCCGTTCAAAAACATAACAGCAGAACCTGCTGCATTCTGGAAGTATTGGATGGCACAACTATTGCTACCAGAGTCGACGTTTTTAAGAATAATAGCCCGTAGCCCATTAAGTGGCGAACCAATAGTTAGATTACTGGATGAGATGAGGTCTCCGGTGTAGGTGTTAACTGAGAATCGGCTATTCCATGTTCCAAAGGTATCACTGGAATAATGACCGAATTCATAATGACGTTGGTCTATGCTATCAGACGAGCTGGTGAGGTGGATGTGAAGGGCATCTCCGGAGTTGTTGTAGGAGATAGTGTAGTCACCTTTCGTAGAGGGAGTGTCACTTCTCAACTTGAAATATCCACCTGTAGAGGCGGCTATGAGAACTTTTCCTGTAATGTTTCCACCTGAGAAGATACTTTTAGAAACCCCTATTCCTCCTTTAACCTGTAGAGCACCACTTGATATGGTTGTTGCCTCGGATGTATCATTAGCAAGAATTGTATTTGCCGACAGATTACTAGAAGATGTTATAACATCTTGTTTCGATGTTTGCAGTGCTGATATGCTGGGGGCATAGTCGACAATGTTTAAAATACTTCGAATGGAAATATCATTCACAAGGGTAAATCCTTGGACATCATCTCCCATGACAAACATGTTCGACATTGGACTCATCGATGCAAGGGAATCGAGTAAAGGACTTGCATTTTGCTTCCCTGAGATGTCGACATTGGTAATGCCTAATATTGTCTTCACCTCTTCAGGAGTTTTCACCGAGAATGATGTAGCAGAACTCCCAACAATAAATGAATTCGCTGATAATGCAAGACCACTTATAGACGATAATAGTGGACTCGATGCCTGTTTATTAGCAATGGCCATCCCTACATAACTCTCGGTTGCAAGTTTGAGATTATTGGAGAAAATGTCTCCACCGATGTACAGCATTTTAGCGACACCTAAACCTCCTGATACCTGCAATGCGCCCGTTATAGTCGACGATGAGTCTGTAGTCGAAGTGATTGCAATGGTTCCATTGGCTTTGAGGATGAATTGATGGGCGCTAGTTCCATAGTTATAAAACCCGAGGCTCCCATTGGTAAGTATACCTGTTCCATTAGTTGCAGCGTGGTATATACCCCAAGAATTACTCGAAGCAGCATTGTTACTAATCAGAACGGCCGTAGACGCTGTGGCACTTGAAGGCGCATTGATGACTATGGCAGCCGGCTGCAATCCTCCTCCACCTGCTCCTAGGGTTAGAGTTTTTCCTATGCCGACTCCACCTGATACCTGGAAAGCACCTGTTGTCATACTAGTTGAATCGGTTGTGTTTGGTATCTGTGTTACGCCTGTATTGGAAACTCTCAGAACGAAGCCTGTATTGTTATAAGAACTATTTAGACCGAATCCGCCTGCTGATAATGTTCCGTCTCCTGTGCTTCCGGCAACTCTCATGCCCCATGTAACATTACTCCCAGTATTTACTAAGGACAATGTTGTAGATGCTGTGCCATTTTGAATGGTTATACCCCCGCCAACAGTGGCACTGTTAAATGATAGCGCAGTCGATGAGGTAATAAGAGGTTGATATGAGGAAAGTATATTCGATGTAGGAACAACTGAGAACCCTGTGGGTGTTCCCATGATGAAAGTGTTAGCCGCCGGCGTTAAACCGCTGATAGAATCGAGTAACGCAGACGCACTTTGTTTAGTAGCAAGTGCTGTATCTGCGGAGGCCTTGTTATTCTGAACAAGTGTTTGAAGCGAAGTCAAGGATTGACTAAGAGGACTTGTCATGCCGGTCATTGTAGCGACACTCCATTGTTGCGTAGCCACTTCGACTCCATTTTGAATGATCAGTCCTTCAACATTTAGATCATGTTCAACAAGTAAGCCACCTGTCAAGAGTCCATTGCCTACATTATCTACTCGAAACACTATATCTGAGGTGCCTTGGACAAATATTCCACCACTCGTTGTTAGAGAATTAACATTCAATGCAGACGATGTAGTAAGAAGAGGTTGGAATCCCCCTAGAATTGTAGAGACAGGTGATACTGTAAAGCCCCCAGCAGTTCCCATGACGAAGGAATTCGGTGTCGTTGTTAAACCACTGATTGCATCGAGTAAAGGACTGGCATTTTGCTTCGTAGCAATGGATGTTGTTAGAGAACTTTCAGTAGCCAATTTCACTCCATTTGTGTATACATCCCCTCCAACGTACAGTGATTTAGCGATGCCAACTCCACCTTTCACCTGGAACGAGCCGGATGTTGAGGAAGTAGCATCAGTTGTCGTATTGATAATAACATTCCCAGATGAGAGAATATCCAGATTCGAAGCCGTTGCATTATTTGTACCAATACGCAAATTACTAGCGGAGGCTCGAATGATGTAGTCTCCAGCAACTGAATTTGTTACCCATTGACCTGCTGTTGCTGTATATCCGAATGATGCATTGTTTATTTGAAAGGCGGCAGCCGCTGTAGTAGATATAATAGCATATTTTCCCATGTACACTGTGCCTTGGACTCCTAATCCACCGGCAACCTGTAATGCACCTGTCGTTGTAGAGGATGCATCATTTGTTGCATCCAGTGTAACGATTCCAGTGTTCGCGAGTATTGTCAGTCCTCTAGCGGTCTGTGCTTGAAGCCGAAGGTTACCAATATCGTTTCTCAACGTCATTGTGTTAACGCCTCCATCCACACTCCTATTGTTTCCGTTCAAAAACATCACTCCATTACCTCCAGAGGCCGTTAGATAAAGAATTGAACAAGCATTCGTCCCTGTATTAGTATTGGTTACAACTAGTGACCGTAGACCGCTAACAGAATTGGCTCCTCCGACGGTTAGGTCACCGCCAACAAGGCATGAACCATTAGTGTCCACTCTTAGACCTAGAGTAGGCGTGCTAGATGTTCTTGGATAGATAAACATTGGTGAATCCTGAGCACCCAGCCATGTAGAGGCGGATGGGTTAAAACCAAGAAACCCTGCCCCATCAACCCCAAGCCATGTTGATTTTGAGCCGTCAAAATTACTTGAAATAAACACCGATGATTGTCCTGTTGCAGAGGCTGTAGTTTGCAGACGTGTGCCTGTTATCACTTTGCCTGAAACATTACCTCCAAAAGTAATATTATTCGAAGTTAATGCCGTTATCTGGCTTCCAACCCAAGGTTTGATGACTTCGGTATCATAATCCCTTAACATCGAGAGGTTGATCGCGGCTTGGGGGTATTCATATTTGATGGTGCGATAGCAACTCGGTACATCAAATAGTAATCGAGTACAGCCTCCAATCGGGTCTGAAGCAATTGCCACATTGCTTCCAGGCTCTAAAGGCGGCATGAAGGTAACAGGGTCGACTGGTTCGTAAACTGGATTTCCATCTCCATCGAGTATAGGTTGGCCTTCCGCATCTCGTTGAACCTTACGTTCCCTCTGACCACCGAAAATCATTCCCCAAGGAAACGTTGAGACGATTGGGAGGATGGAGTTTACAGCCATGGGAATCGTCAGTGGTGGAGATACCATCGCAGGAAATGGAATAGTAGTCAGCGGTGTGGCCCCACTAAGAACAACAACATTCCCACCAGGGACATCAGTTTTTAAGATTTCTGCGGCGTCAGACTGTTCCGTATTATCGGTATCCCTTTGTTTCGATAACGGCGTAGGGTCAATGAGAGTGAAATTGTACAAAGGATAACTGCCGGATATGAGGAGATTTGGGCTGTTACTTACGAATTGTGGAGGAATCATGTTGTACTGAATGGTATTACCAACAACGACCACACTTCCGTATGAATTGGTCGAGCCAACATAATTACCTCTTAAGGTATCGCCTACTCGAAGAATCGTATCACTTCCTGAAAGCGAACATGAAATCAGATCGCCACTAACTTGCACACCATTGATACCTCGGAGGTTGGTTGACAGAATGGCACCATTCTTCTGGAGTCCAATTCCCGCAGCGATGTTCGAACTGAGAACACCGTTGTTGAGAGTTAAATCGGGCTGTTGGGCTGTGAGAGATAACCTGAAATCATTTTGCACCCTTTGGATACCATTGGAGGCGGTAAACGTATCGCCTATGGTCCCGCGGCTGAGCATCATTAAGCCAGAGTTGGCATCAACTTTTAGATCGAGTTGAAGGTCATTCTGTACTCTCTCGATACCATTGCTACAAGTCAGTACGTCTTTAATGGTATCTGCTTTGACCATTTGGAGACAACTGCCAGCCTCGCATTTGAGAGAGAGCACCACATCATTGGTCGTTCCCGGTCTAATGGAGACGCCATTAAAGTCCTGAAAAATGTAGCCACCTGTTAACTGGTTTCCTACAATCCGAACTGTTTGGTTATCAACGAGCACCCCGATTTCACGTCGTCCACTAAACTCTGGTCCGACAGCAATGGCCCCGGTTTGGCTGCCTTGGTAAAAATTGGCCATGTAATCTTTACTCACTGCATAAGAGCCTCCTCCAATAGCAGGTAATGTTGCGCTTAACTTTACATTGGGTACACGCAACTCTTGAAGCGTGGACGAATAGGTGAATGAAGAACTTCCCGAGTAGCCATAAGTAAGGTTCCCATACATGATTTGTTCATATCCGGGTGATTTCAGGGATAATCGAGAGCCGGCTTGCGTGAATGTAGAGGTGTCAGTCATCAATCTAATCGCTGTCATGTCCACTTCCCCCAGAGCGTCTGTTAGTTCACTGAGAGATGAGAAGCCAAAATCGAGCCAACTGCTTCCGATATCTAAGATTGAGTCTGCTCCAGACGATGTTCTTATCGCCCCGAACGCCTTAAACAGTTGACTAGTATTGGTTTCCAATTCGTCTTCATTGTTCACCTTTAGACTTTTATGAAGTTTGATTCCAAGGCCATTATCCCGATACAATGGTTTCTTGAGCGTTTCTAAAGGCGGAGGTGGTGGAAAGTTTACTGATAAGCCATTTTCAGTAATGGATAACGAATCGTCTGCACGAATACCAACTGTGCGTATTTCGTAATCCCTGTAGAGCGGAAACTCATAATTGTCCGGAATCACTTTTAGTTTTTCTTGTTCTACAGTTAAACATGAATCATCAATCTGAAGTTCGATATCATGATCCTCTTTTGAGTAGACAAGAGGAGAATGTGCGGTTACATCGATTGTGGTCAAGCGACTGTCCTCATCAATCTCAAGTCTCTCGTTGTCAACATTTAATCCAACGGATACGACGCCATGTTCATTCGTACAAGGCAAGCATTCAGAGGTGGTTTCAAAAGAGTTGACTTCTAACTCACCATTCTCGTTTGATACTTTTTTGAATTCTCCAACGGCAAACCCCTTGATCTTGGCTCCTGCATCGAAGCCAACCATTTCGCCTGTCACATACGGTGACAGTAGATTAGTGTTATCTACTGTTCGTAAACCAGATGCGTTTCGTGAATTTATTCCGCTCATTTAACTTAAGAAAGTAAAAATTAAGCTGATCAGCCTCGTGTTACCTCGTGTGAGCCGCGCTGTCATGTGATTTATCATGTCCTGGACATGTTAGTCCCCGATCATGGCTCACATTATCCTCTGTTTCTTCCTCGGTGGAAGTGTGACATCCTCTGCTCCTTTCCTCTGCCTACTTCGAACTGTAGGTTCGACATGAACTGTTGCCTGTGTTGGAACCGGTGGTACAACATATTCCGCTTCACGTTGTCCTCTTAGACGAGTGAGAGGACGTACTTCGCTTCCCAAGTCCGCAGTCAATGGTACTAGCGTTGGCGGGTTAAGTGCCATCGGTGCTAAGACTGGATCAACATTGACCCTTCTCCTGCGGGAAGCACGTACAGACCTCTCGACTTCTTCAGGATTTTGTAACACTATTTCCTCTAGAGCAGGCTCCTCTACATGTTCGGCATCGATTCTCCGTCTTTTTATCGTCTGCTTATCCTCTGGCTGTTTATACTGTCTTCGCTTGGTTCCGTGAGGAGCACGTCCGGCAAAAAGCACATCTGGGGGACGTGGAGGAGCAACAGGTGGAGGGGTTGCTGGTGGAGTTACCGGCTCTAGATTTATTCCTTCTACAACATCATGCTCTGCATCACCTGTTTTTTGCTTCTTTTTATTCAATCGAGGAATCGGTGGAGGCGCATTCGCCTTTCTTTTGGAACCCGCTAATACGGCTGGTTCTTTACCTTTGAAATGGAATGGTGTCCTTGCAGGAACAGAAATAAACTGTTCATTCACCGAGTTTCTCTCCAAAACATCTGCCACATCAGATGGATTTTGATGGTCATTCATAATTACCGTATCGTGAGGAATTGGTGCGCTACGAGGCATTGTTTCCACTGAGGCATCGATTTGAGGAGATTCCACATGTACCTGTGGAGTCGAGCCAGGGAAACCGCCTGGGATAGGTGGAATATAGGCATCGCCCATTGTCATCGCATCTAATGGAACTGCGACACCAGTCGCATGATTGACATGGTCATTTCCAAATGCATCTCGTCTAATTTCCGTCTCCCTTGTTAAAATAACAGGTTCTAGTGGACTTGAGTTTACATTTCTTGGTTGTGCCGGAATTTCATTTCCATTCGGTGGTGCCTGAAACATTAGACCTGTTTGACTCGTAACAGATGCCGGATAGTGAAACACAGTTCCTGATTCATCTGGAATTGGTAATCCAGATGTAGACGCTTGTGTTCCAATAGTTAGAGCGTTCCCTCGACGACTGGGGGTAATAGAATCAAGATACTTCTGTTTTTTACGATAATCTTCCTCTGCTTTAACATATTCAAGACCGTCCTTGTAAGCCTGGGTTGTTTGTTGTGCGGCAGATATTTTCAGAACATCAGAAGATGAGAGTCGTGGCTCATATTTCGGCTCGGTGTAATTTTCTTTAGTTGCTAAATCTTTATCATGAATGTTCCTGTTCCATGAATACACTACTTTTGCTCGGCCAAGGTCATCGACCTTTGAATAGTCTAGAGCGACCCCAACTTGTCTCTTTTGCAAATTAGGAATTGGTGGACTTATAGCATAAGTATCGCTTAAGTAATTTGCTCTGTAGTACGCCATTATTTCCTTTATGTAGAGCTGATAAAATAATATCTCCTCTCTTCTATAAAAATCAATATGCCTAATTGGTTTTCGAAAGCAAAAGCAAAAGCCAATGTTTTATGGAACAATGCGCCGTCATATGTTGCAAAAGCAAGGAACTTTGCTAATCAAGCAGTCCGGCATGCCACTACATTGAATAAACATGTGCAGCACGTAAATCGCCAAGTACAAGAGTCACCGCTTTTCTCAGCAGGAGTCCGAGAGAAAAGTCAAAAGATTTCTAGTCATGGTGAGACCGGTTTGAAGAAACTACAAGAACTCCACAAGAACGCTGACGACTTCGTGGAACGGGTAAGGGGCGGTCCTATCGAGTAAACCTATATTGTTCACTTCAACATAATTAAGCTTTACATGAAATAACAACTTGCAAGAACTACTCTACATTATTGAGTTTGTATGAGCAGCCCTCTTTTTCATTCAATTCTTGTGCCTTCCTGTTGTAAGCAATAAGTGCATCCCTTTTCCCAATGCCGGCATCGGCATCAAACCACGGTAACAACAGCACCAATGGAAAGTGTAACATTCTCGAAATAACACGTCACCATGCGCACCTTTTGCGTAGGTGCCGTTGCATGAGTTGTATGCACACGAAGCAAACCATCGCTGCCAGTAAATGAGAGTGCCGCATTACTGCCTTCATCCTTTGATGCAAATGACCAGCCAAATGAGAATGCCTTGGAATCATAGTCGGCGAACGACATGTCCATATCTCCTAATTGGTCAAAGTTGTTATTTGACAATTGTGTGACAAGCAGTGTTTGATTATCACTCGGTGAATGTGTGAAGCCTTGTATTCCACTTGGAATGGTCAAGTTCGGGCCGATTTGCATACGCCACTCGCGTAGTCCCTGGGACGAATACATTAACGCTTTATCTTTTGTGGTATCATTCAAAACGTCGTCATCGATAAAGGACATCTCCACACCCTGGAGAGAGCGAACGCCAGACATATGGAGCAAGAAGGTGTTCCGGTTTCCGCCACTACATGCATTTTCCGTTTGGGTTGAGCGCACATAGTCATAGAATATTGATTTACCGTCCGAAATAGCACGAGTCGCGTTGACAACGGTCGTCGGAGGAGGAGTGATATAAGGGACCAAACACCGAATGTTGGAAACCCGAATCTCACCTACACCGGCGCTTGTAAACACTGTGTTCGGGTCTGCGAGGGTGATAATGATTTCTAACGCCTGATTTGGAAGGGCCCACACAGGGAAGAACTGGTCATTCGATGGATGGCAAAAACCGACGAACGGGTGGTGATTAATGGAAATGGTACTTGATGTTGCAAAGATGTTGGTGTTTCCATATCCGGAAAGTTGGCTCAACAATTTCTTACTACCGGTGGATAGATTGCGGTACGTTTGTACTAGATAAAGAGGATAGTTTGGAATGTTAACAACAGTTTCTCCCCCTGCTTTGATGGTTAATGATTGAATAATGGATTCTAAGCCAAGGTACGTATTTTTAACACCTGTACCAGGAGTTATCAGGTTCCCTGCATTATCGTATGCAGAGACATCCATGGAGAGAATGAGTTTTTGCAGAATGAAACTCACCGAATTAGAGTCACAAGTTATCTTGATTGGGGTCAGGTTACGACTTTTTGTCGTATATGTGCTTTGACCAATCGGACTATAGATTGACACGCCTTCCCACGGGGGTCTGAGTACCCCCTCG